CTACTACTGCTACGACTACTACTACTACTACTACTACTACTACTACTACTACTACTACTACTACTACTACTACTACTACTACTACGACTACTACTACTACTACTACTACTACGACTACGACTACGACTACGACTACTACGACTGCGACTGCGACTGCGACTACTACTACTACTACTACTACTACTACTACTACTACTACTACTACTACTCGGACACGTGCACCACATCACCACGGCCCAACCGCCTTGGGATGAGCGTCCTTGTGGCTGCCTCATTCCCAGTGTATAGCGAGCACCTTTTCTGGGTGAAATGGCGGGTCTCACGTGCATGCAGCGGCGGGTGCTGATCCGAGGGCAACTGGTCCCTACGGCCCAGAGTAAAGCGACAGCGGCGGCACAGCAGCACACGGGGCGACCCCAGTACCGCCATCGAGGCCAACGAGCGCAAGTAGGCGCGAGAAGAGGCCAGGATGGCAAGCCAAAATGGCTAGGCGCTCAGTTGACCGTGCGAAGAACGAAAAACTAAGCAACAGGGCCCGCGGCGCGAGGGGGGGCACCACTGTGGGCGCACCCGCGCAAGCTGGCACGGCGGCGTTGCTAAAGCTGGAGCGTAAGCGAGCACACAGGCGCAGCGAGCTACTACTACTACTACTACTACTACTACTACTACTACTACTACTACTACCACTACTACTACTACTACTACTACTACTACTACTACGACGACGACGACGACGACGACGACGACGACGACGACGACGACGACGACGACGACGACGACGACGACGACGACGACGACGACGACGACGACGACGACGACGACGACGACGACGACGACGACGACGACGACGACGACGACGACTACTACTACTACTACTACTACTACTACGACCCTTCCCCGACGATGACCACGACAACGAAGACGGCGGCGGTGACGACGACGGCGGTGACGACCACGACCACGACCTCGGCGACGACGGCAACGACGGCGATGGCGGCGCGTGGACACGGCGCCTCTGGGAATCCAGACGCAGACAGCGCCGACCGCTTGGGTTCCCGGGCGTACTCCATCAGCAGGCTCCTCACCTCTCGAGCGGGAGGGATGGGAGGAAGGAGGCAGCAGGATCGCTTTGCCAATTACTTGAACATGTCTGACAACATCATCCATGTAGTCTCTGACCTTTGGCGAGTCCAGCTTGGGCGGCCCTGTTGGATTACAGCTCCGGCTCGCAATGGCGTGCGAAGCCCGTACGCCCGTCGTCTAGAGACGAACGCAGACGCGCGCTGAGCCCATTTGCACACGCGCACACGCTCGATAACAGCATACATATGTGTATCAAGTGAGCTTCAGCACTCTCCCATGCCCCCTCACGTACGTCGCGCTTCGAAACGCGCTTCAACGTAGAGGTCTTCGCGCCCCCACCCCGGCCCTCCAAAAATTTGCACGTCCCTGGCCCAGGCCGCGAAGCACGAGCATTGACCTCCCTTCGCGCCCCCCGCGGCTGACGCATGAGAACCATGCTTGTGGATGCCATAACACTCGACACCCTAATAATCCCATAATTGAGTTACAAGTGTGTATACCATGTTGAACCAGTTCTTGGAATGGTTTAAACATTGTTTTACATGTTTAAGATATGTTTGAAACATTATTGGACATCTGGACATGATTTGGCAACATGTTTCCTCCCCATTGATCGTCGTCCAAAAGGCTACAACTCCGCTCAGACTCGATCCACCGGCCCTTCCGTTCCTCCTTGCCTCAAGGGCAGGAAATCCACCCCGATAGTAACCACCCCGACACGCAAAGCCGTTTAGTCAACGCACCCAAAGAAGGAATCAAGCAGGGCAGGACTCATTCATAAACGGCCAGGGCCGTTTACCAAACGCCAATTGTCGGGTCCGGGTGTCTCTTCCTCCCCTGATATAATACGTCATCATGCTGAAACGTGGGGGCAGCACCAGCTTGGGCATGTACATGGGCTTCCATTTCGGTCCCGTACGGAATGGCTCGAGAAGCCTCTGGTGAGCGGGGTGCCCGCCCGCCCGAGCTACGCCTTCCCTGCTGGGCCGCAGCGCTCGCCTGGCTTGGAGGCCGCCCTGCGTGCCAGAAGCGCCCCCCAAGCTTACAGCCCAGGGCGCCAGCGGAAGTGCCGCCTGGCTGGACAGCCAGCCGGGCGGCAGGGAAAGGCCCAGGACAGTCGCAGGACGGTCCCACGAGAGCCCCACAACGGACCAAGAGGGTCCCAAAAGGCCTTCTGGACGGCCCACGAGGGGGACGATTCGGTCCAAACCGCCCCAGCTTGCCTGCAGACGATTCCCCATAGGCCCCCGAGACGTTTGAAAAAACTACTACGAAGCGCTCCACGAAGGCCTCCAGAAGCAAAAATCGTCCCATTCCCTGAAAAGAGTACATACATTTTCAGCACTTTCGCCTCTTGGGCTTCCACGAGGCCCACAATGGCCCAAGAAGCATCCAACATAGACCCCCTACAGCCCAAAGGCTTTCAAGAGGGTTCCAAGGCGGCCTCCGGGCGCCCCACGAAGGCCCCCGAAACAACCGCAACAGCCCAGGACAGGCCGCAGGACGGCCTCAAGAGGGCCCAAACATGGGCCAGGTCCCCAAAGGCCTCCTGGACGGCCCACGAGGGCTACGATTCGTCGAGAGATCGCTCCAAGACGCTCCAGATTGCCTCCCGGCGGTCCTACAGGCCCCGAAGACGGCCCAAGAAACCACCCAGAGACGTCCCAAGAGGCTTTCCAGAAGCAAAAAGCGTTTCATATTCTACGGACAACATGCATTTCCAGCACGTTCGCCTCTTCGGCTTCCACGAGGCCCGCAACAGCTGAGGAAGCCTTCCAGATCGACCCAATACGACCCAAAAAGGCTCCTAAAAGGACTCCAAGACAGCCCAAATGGGAGCCAAAAGACCCCAGAAGCCACCGAACCGACCCAGGACGGCCCCAGGACGGCCCCAAAAAAGCCCCAAAATGGGTCCCACAAGGCTCCCCCGACGGCTCCAGAACGCGAACTACGACTCGTGAGGAGATCGTTCCCAGACGCCCGCCATTGCCTCCAGCTGACCCCTGAGGCCCCCTAGACGCCCCAACGCGCAACCAGGACGCGTCCCAAGAGGCCCGGCAAAACCAAACCCCGGCCTCTTCTCGAAGGGAAACGTCTAAGTTTAACACATTCGCTTCTTGAGCTTTCACGAGTCCCAAAGCAGCCCAAAGAGCCCCAAAAATCAACCCAAACACCCCCGTATGCCCCCAAGAAGGTTTCCAGACAGCACAAACGGGCCCCAACAGGACCCCCGAAGCCACCAGGGAGAGCCCCAGGACGGCCCCAAGAGGAGGGTAAGAGGGGAAACCCGAATGGAGAATTCGATCACTTCGCCCCGAGAAAACATGAAACGGCGCCTACATGCACCCAAGAGGCCCTGACGGGGATCCACAATGCCCCCGGACGACCCCGGGACCCACAGGCGGCCCTTCGACGAAGAAAACCACTAAAATATTGAAAAAACTCAGACTCTTCAACGAAATACCACCAGTCCTCTGGGCGTAGGTGGTCTAACGATGTTCTTTCTCTCCTCTTCCAAAAACCCCTTCTCCCCTTCAGGGAGGAGTTTATCACTGTCCCCTATACTATTAATAAACACCCCCTCCCCCAGGCGACTGGGGGCCAACCCGAGTCCATGACAACACCCCCCCACCATCCCTTGTAATAAACAATACAAAACACACTCTGCTTCCAAATTCGGAACATGCGCAGCCAACCCGATGCGGCCCCCCACCCCCGCCATCCCTGTCAAAAAACAATACAGAGTACACTTGGCGGCGGCGGCGGCGGCGGCTGCGGCGGCTGTGGCGGCGGCGGCGGCGGCGGCTGCGGCTGCGGCGGCGGCGGCGGCGGCGGCGGCGGGGGCGGCGGCGGCGACGGCGGCAGCGGGCGGCGGCGGCGGCGCGGTGGCGGCAGCGGCTGCGGCTGCGGCGGCGGTTTGGCAGCGGGGGGGGCGGCGGCGCGGCGGCGGCGGCGGCGCGGCGGCGGCAGGCGGCGGCGGCGGCGGTTTGGCAGCGGGGGGCGGCGGCGGCGGCGGCGGCGGGCAGCGGCGGCGGCGGCGGCGGCGGCAGAGGCGGCAGAGGCGGCGGCGGCGGCGGCGGATTGGCCCCCAATAGCTGCCCATCCACAGGCGACTGCTGAATGTGATGAGGCTCGGTCCAGACTCGGGTGCTACGTATGTGTTGGGAGGGCGGGTGGGAGTGAGCGAGACGGCTTGCGGGCGGGGAGGGGGTCTTGATCCCTCTCCCTACCCTCTACCCTGGACTTTTTGGGGGGGTCGCGGGTCGTTGGAAGCCCTTTTTCGGCCCTGGGAGGGCCCATTTTTGACACCCCTCACGCGGATCGCGGCCCCCGAGGGGGGGACCTCGATCGGGACCCTCCCTCCTTTGATCGATAACCTCGAAGATGGTCCCAAGAGGCGTTCCAGGGCTCCCAAGAGAGCCCCAAGAGGGCTCCAAGAGGGCTCCAAGAGGGTGCCAAGAGGGCCCAAGAGGCACCCGAGAGGCCCCCAAGAGGCGTCCGAGCGGCCTCAGAGAGCCCAAGATGACCTCCAAGATGGCTCAGATAGCCAAAGCTGCCTCAAGATGGCTCCCAAGATGCTCCAAACGGCCCCAAGACCGCTCCAAGAGCGCTCCAAGAGAGCCCAAAGAAGCGGGCTGTCGGCTCCTGAGGGGGGAACTGAGTTTGGGACCCCCCACCCTGTCATCGATGGCCTTCAAGATGTTCCCAAGAAGCCGTCGAAGGTTACCAAGAGGGTTCCAAGAGGGCCCCCAAAACTCCCAGAGAGCACCAGCAGCAGCAGCAGCCGCAAAATACTTCTAGATGGTTCCATGAATCCTCGCCCGCGTCGTCCTCATCCTACTCCTCGTCCTCCTCATCCGCGTCCTCATCCTCCTCGCACTCCTCGTCCTCATCCTCCTCCTTCTCCTCCTCCTTCTCCTCCTTCTCCTCCTCCTATTCCCCTCGCCCCCACGCGGCGCCCAGAGATGGCCCGAAGAGGGTTTCCCAGGCCACCCTCTCTTCGTTTCCCTAAGTGCGTCTCTTCGTCCCTTTTCCCGTCAGCTCTGAAGGCCAGGGCTTCTGAATGGACTGGTGGGGATATGCGAAGCGTGAAGAATCGTTCTCTTTTCCCACTCAGATATCGTTCACCATGGACCCTCCGGACCCTTCCTAGAATCCAGTCGCAATCGTTTTCCCAAATGCATCCCGCCGCGGCGACAGGGGAGGGGCCCGGAAACCCCTAACCACAACAAGCCTCCCGAGTCCGACGGGCTACTCCGCACAGATTCGTTCCCCGAGCCTTTCCCCGGGTCCGCTGATGCAATTTCTTGCCCCAGGTCCGTCCGGTTTTTTGAAAATCCTGGGGCCCAGCAGCGGCCCCCGGAGACCGAAGCCTATCAAAAACAAAAAAGCGGTTCAAACAAAAATCTCTGGAAAGAACTGCCGCGGGCATCTACCTCGATCGAGAAGAAGAAAAGGCGAAGGACGAGGAGGAGGAAGAGGAAAAAGAAGAGGATGATTTCGTCGTCGCCGCCGATGGTTCACATATTTTGGTGGTCTTTCGACCATTCGAAGCATCTCCTCGAATTCAGCCTCCAGGAACCGTTTTCCGTGTCCGGGACCACCACCGAGGGTTCGGGATCCCTGGCCGGTGCCACCCCACTGCAAAGAAAGGAACACGGGCTGCATCGAGGCTCGAGGCATGAGACTCCTAGTTCTTGGGCGCTCTCCGCCCCATCTGGGCCTTCAGGAAGCTCCTCGTCGACTCAGCTGGGTCCACTCTCGAACTTCTGGCCGGACGCACCCCTAGCTGGGTCTCAACGATCCCCGAGCCTATCCAGGGGGTGGAAAAGGAGGCCCGGAACAGGCCACGTGAAAGCCCCGAGAACACCACAGAAGACCACGAAAAACTTCATAACAATCCCCTACTACAAGGCCCCTCCTTGAACCCCACACTCTACGTATGACAGGCCGAAACCCCAAGTCTGCCCAGCGATCGCGCGCGTTCCGCGAATTCCATCTTTCACTCTTGCTGCCGCCCCAAGGGGTCGGCGGCGCGGCGTAAGCCAATGAATCATTGATATTCCCTGGGACGGCCCAAGAGGCCCGAAAGGCGCTCCACGAGGGAGCCCACATGGGGGACCCGAGCGGACATTTCGAGCCCGCGGCCCCGAGGGGCCGCCAGGAGGTCCCAAGAGGCCCCCAAGAGGCGCCCAGGAGGCCCCAAAACTGCCCCCAAGGTGCCCTTGCGAGCGCTCCGAAGAGACCCCCACAAACATCCCTGAGAACTCTGACCCTCAACCCAAGCACGGTGGCAGGATAGGCCGAAGGCCGTTCGATATCCATCTTCGTGCCCTCCTCTCTTCCCCTCCTCCTCGCCTGAAAGCGCACGCGCGTTGGCTCAACTGCCTGTTGCTGTGGCGCCATGCGCCCTGGGTAGATGTTTAGCCAAGGGCGTACCTCTCTGACCCATGTGCAATATGGAACGGTTCCTGCAGGGCCCCATGTTGGACCCAAGGTTTGATCTCCTTCGCGCCCCCGAATCACGTGGCCTGCGATGGCGCCGAATCCCGCGGCGGTCGAGCCGATCATGATGAGGCCGATGCAATGTTGCAATGTAAATTAGAAGCGAAAGTGCTGGCGGCAGAGGTTGCGGCGTATGAATCGGCATATGAGTGCCTCTGGGCCTGAACGATCTGAGTGTGAATGGCCCGTGTGTATGACGATGGGCTTGACTTCGATAAGTATGACTGAATATGAAATCGGGTGGTATGAGCAGCAGCGTTTCTTGATGCTAGTACAGTTACGTTGTGAGTGCGAGTGAGCACGAACGAGTCTGAGGGTGAATGAGCCCGAGCATGAGAGATCAACATATGAGCGAGTGCGAGCGTGAGAGATCCAGCAATACATACGAACGCGCTGGCTGCGAACGAATCTGGGTCGCAGTACGCGAAAGGGTAGGAAAAAAGAAGAAGAAGTGGAAAATGATCACGGAGGAAGGAGGAGCGGAAGTGGGAGGCGGAGGCGTCGCACGAATAACAAAAAAATGAAATGGGGAACGTGATCAATCCGTTGACCCCGCCGCTTGTGCTACCAGACCTGTTCCTTCTATTCCTCTTGTCGACAATCCCGACAATTTCCTGGAAATTAATTACCGCTAATCCCCCTGGTTCCCGCTAATTCCCCTGGTTCCCCTCTAACCGTTCCCGCTAATTCCCGCTAATTCCCCTGTTCCAACGAATGCTTATGGGCGTCAGCCATACTCGGTCTTACACGATTGGCCCACAATATTGCACGTAGAACATGATATGAGAATAAGACGTACACTATGATGCTGTGGTGACGGTATGATGGCACGACACATCGAACGAGTCGAAAGAGCGAGACGCGGAGGAAGGACGCAGGTGAGGGGAAGACGACGAGAGGGGACGACGACCAGGAAGCGACGGAGGAAACAAGTGGGGAAACGGAGCCGAACAACGAGGGGAGCAGCAGGAATGGAGCAGCACGAGGGGGAGGGAGAGGGGCAGCAGGAGGGTGAGGAGAGGAGGAAGGGCCGTCACCACGTCACCGAGAGGGAGGAGGAGGAGGAGGAGGAGGAGGAGGAGGAGGAGGAGGAGGAGGAGGAGGAGGAGGAGGAGGAGGGAGGAGGAGGGAGGAGAGGAGGAGGAGGAGGAGGAGGGAGGAGGAGGAGGAGGAGGAGGAGGAGGGGGAGGAGGAGGAGGAGGGGGAAAACGAGGAAGAGGCGCGCTTTCCGCTTTCCCCTGCTGGCGGTCGGTGCAAGCGTCGGTGCTGGCGCCAATGCTGCGGACGGTGCTGGCGTAGGCGGCCGGGCGGCCGGCGGCGGGGGGGCCGCCGTCGCCGTGCACTCGCTCCCGGAGTAGGGTGCAGGGTGCAGCGGACATTGAAGGCATTCGAGAGCGTCCCGGGAGGTCCAGGGAGGTTCTGGGAGATCCCAGAACGTCCCGACTTAACGGGAATTACCGTCCAGGCACTAGAGGGAAAAATCCCCGGGAGGTCCCGGGAGGTGGGGCCCTGGGAGGCGGGGGCCTTCCCGCTAATTCGCCCCTGTGTTTTTACGGGGTTTCTTTCTCGGGAAATTATCGGGAAGGGTCCCCGGGAGGTGGGGCCCCGGGAGGTGCCCGGGAGGTCCGTTAATTCTGGACGGTAACCCCCGAACCCCTGGACGGTAATCCCCAGCAATGAAAATCACGCGGGGCGAGGGGTGGGGGAGTTCGGGTTGCTCTCTTGCAGTTGCGCCTTGCCGAAAGCCTTCCAGAGCCTCCTCCTCCTCCTCCTCCTCCTCCTCCTCCTCCTCCTCGTCCTCCGCCTCCTCCTCCTCCTGCCCAGCGCGGGCAGGAGGCTTGCTATCGCTCGGACGTCCATTCCCCGTGCATGTGTCGGTTTCGCGCGTGTTTGGTTTGCTACGTGGTCCAGGATGCTCCACGATGGTCCTCGCAGAGGAAAAAAACGCACACGCCCGAGCAATGCCAAGGAGGAAGGCGGGAAGAGGGAACGGCACGAAGACCAGCAGGGGGAGGAGAAGCGCCTCTCGAAGGCCTCCAGAGGCCTGCAGGGAGGCTCCCCGAGGTGTCGGGAAGTCCGCCGCTTAGCCATCTCGAGTAGAATAGCAGTGAAGAGGACGATGAGGAAGGAAGGGGGAGGGCGAGGAGGGGGCAGGGATGACGGTGGGCATGTTACTGGTGAGGGAGGGTCTGAGGCCTCCTCATTCCTCCTTCCTCCTTGATACCATGCGTTCGTGTCGCCTGTATGGTGTATACTATATGGCCGATGATCGGAAATACAAGACAATTATCGGGAATGCAAGACAATTAGAGGGACAATAATACAATTAGAAGACAATTATCGGGAAACATTAAAGGGAAATTAGGGGAAGGGAAGAGGCGAACCCCGCCGCTGGTAGCACAAGCGGCGGGCTCAATCAATCCGAGCACACGCGCGGTGCAAAAATCGGGATCACCAAAAGTAGCAAACGCCTCATCAACACAGGGGGCCGGTGGCGACCCTGTGATGCAGATGCACCGGATGTGTACCACTTTGTTGGCCCACGTCACACCGTCTTCGACAAAACGGCTGACAAGTCAGCAACAGACAGCAATCTCAGCTAAATCACGCCACTGCCATCTTCTCGAAAGCGATGCTTGATCGGGAGCGGCCAAGAGGGGGGTGTCCAAGAGGGGGGGTGCAAATCATGACCGGCGGCATGTGCGCGGCCCAGCAGGGGGGCCAGGAACGTCATGAAACAAGAAGAGGCGCCATGAAACCTTGGGAAATATCATGGCCCCCGCCATGAAATCCACCCCCCCTAGTCATCACCCCTCTCTTTGTCGCCCCCGACTTGAGTGTTGATGGGCCCGGCCCGCCCTGACCGGAACCTTGCCCACCCAGGATCGGGGATCTTCTGACCCGGGTCGATCCAGACCCGGGTCAGCAGGAAACCCAAGAACTGCAATGCAGGAACAAAAAAAAGAAAACTGCAACGCAGGTCTTCGCAAACCCGGGGCAGCCAGAGGGGGTCTTCGCAGGATCCTGCAGGATCCTGGGGCCCTGGCTGACCCCCGTCTGCATCGCCCCCCGTCTCTTGAGAGCCCCGACAGGAGCCGCTGGCCAACCTGCCGGGCCGGGTCGGCCGTCGGGGCGCCGGGGCACGGCGAGGCCCGGAAGATCCTCGGGGGCCAGTGCCAGCACTGGCCACCTGCCAGGCCGCCCCAGCCTGATCCGAAGACCCGAATGTCGGGTTGGAAAGGGGGAGGTACGGGCTCCACACGTGTTTTTCCAATGCTTCCCGACCCCCCCCCCACTGGAAATGGAGGGCAAATCGGGGCCTTCTGGTTGGGTTGGGGTGGTTTCGTGGGCGGCGAAATGCAAACACTCCCTGCGGGAGGCAATACAATACCAATGCTCCCTGCGGTAGGGAACAACGACCCGCCCCCGTCAGGGCAGGGGGGGGGGCCTGGGATATGCTCGGGGGCCAGCGCCAATACCAATACTCCCTGCGGAAAGCACTGCAAGGCCAAGACTTCCTGTGGGAGGCAAAAAAACGACCAGCCCTGGCACGTTGTCGGTTCCAGGGCGGGTCCGCCGTCCTCGTGCCCCGACGCTCCACCCCGGCCCCGAAAGATGGCCACTGCCAGCCCTGGGCAACGTTCTGGGGCGGGTCGCTCATGCCTCCCGCAGGGAGTACAGTCGGACTTGATTGAAGAGGATACGCGAGAGGACACAAGACCCTTCAGAGGGCCACGTTGCCATAGGGATGTAGGAAGCATGGGTCGCGAGACACAGGACACAAGGGTACTCTTGATTTGGCAGGGTCGACCTACTTATCTCGGCCGACTGTATTGGTATTGTACCACCTCCCGCAAACAGTGTTGGTAGTGGCTCTGGCCCCGAGGATCTCCTGGGCCTCTCCCTGCCGAATCGGCCGACCCGGCCCAGAAGGTTGGCCAAGGGAAGCCCAGGCCAAACTTTCGGGTCGGGTGGAGCGCTGGGGCCTGGAAGACGGCGGACCAGGCTCGGAACACTGCTCCGTCACCTGCGTTCAGCCGTGGCCGCGAGAGCTCCCCAAGCGGCCCCCGGAAAGCTTCTGCCGTCAAAGCTGGCCTCAGAGAAGAGCCTCTGAAGGAAAGGGCCCCTGCATTCCTCGATTCTGCGTATGCCTGTCATGCTCTCAGCCTCATCGGCCCGAGTGCTGCTGACTTGGCGAGTTCTGCGCGCCCTGCATCCTTACAACACATCCGTCTGGCGGATGATGACTACATTATTGATCAATGTTGGCCTACCGAGTGACCGCGCAGAGCAGAACAGAAGGCCAGCGAGAAAGGAGGCTGGCAGGCGCCAACGTGAGGGCGGTAACGGATGGTCGCCTGCACGCTCGTCTCGAAGCGAGCGAGGATGTCAGCAATCAGGGTGGAACCGTCGTCCGTCGCCGCCTCCTCCTCGCCTTCCTTGTGGAGAAGCACTCCTCCTCCTCCTCAACCACCTCCTCCTCCTCCTCCTCCTCCTCCTTTTCCTCCTCCTCCCTCCTCCTCCTCCTTCTCCTCCTCTTCCTCCTCCTCCTCGACCCCCCCTCCTTGCCTCCCTTCCCCATCATGCCCCTCCCCACGCCCGTTTTTCTCATCCTCCGCCCCCTTCCTGCTGACCCGCGCCTGCTCCGTCCGTTCCTTCCCACTCTACACGTGCTCCTCCCCTACCCTCAGCATGCTCTTCCGTCTCTCCCGCCCTCACCCTACCCTCAGCATGCTCCCCCCCTACCCTCAGCATGCTCCTCCCCTACCCTCATCTTCCTCCGCCCTCACCCCCAACATAGTCATCGGCCCTCGCCCTTTTCCTCTCTCTCCTCTAGAACTACACGATGTGAATACTACTCTCTCCCCGGACGAGGTCCAGAAGATGTTCGGCCCCCCTCCGCGTACTGCTTATTAACGCACCGAATTCCCGGGAAGTGGGTTGTCGCTTGGTTTTTTGTTCAAATTGCTGATCCCGCTGAAGCGGTGGCCTCATTTTCGGGCTTCCGCTCATTCCGGATCGTGCTCCCGCTGCACCGTTGACCTCATTTCCGCGCTTCCGCTCGTTCCGAATCGTGTTCCCGCTGCAACGCTGGCCTCATTTCCGCGATTCCGCTCGTTTCGAATCGTGCTCCCGCTGCAACGGTGGCGTCATCACTTCCAGTGTCTGCCACGGCATGGTTTTCGGTCTTTCCAAATAGACCCCAACATCTAAAAAATGCTCCCCCCCGAAAAAACATCGGAAGTGATCACACATTCGGTGTCGATTCTTTGATTTGGGGGCCGCAGAAGCCCCCCACTTTGGGGAATCGCCACGCCATGCTATGTCATGTCGCGCGTTGAGTTTGAACACCACGCTACGCCATGTAATGTTATGCCATGCTACGACATCCGATTGTGCGAATAGAGAGGAGATCTACGCCATCGTAAGGGATGGGCGGGGGGGGCAGGACGTCAAATATGACGCGAGCGCTTCTAGCTTGCCCCTCTCCTCTTTCCCATCTCCCCTCTCCCTCCCTCTCCCTCTCCCCCTTCCTATCCCACTCCATTTCACTATCCTTCCCCATGTTTTCCGCCTTCTCTCTCTCTCTCTCTCTCTCTCATCCTCAATATCTGTATTTACATATATAAAAAGATATACAGATGGTTCAACATATCTCTCTGTCTGCCTCTCTCTCTGTCTCTCTTGCTCTGTCGCTCTCTAGGTTATCTTCTCTCTCTCTCGCTCTCTCGTCAGCTATTCCCAACTATGAATCCATTCGAAACAACGCACATGGGATAAGGAAGGGGGGAAGAGGGCCGCCTTCCGCCGCCGCCGCCCCCTCTCTCCTTCTCTATGTTTTGTATTAGCTCTCTCTCTCTCTCTCTCTTTCTCTCTCTCTCTCTCTCTCTCTCTCTCTCTCTCTCTCTCTCTCTCTATATATCATGTTTGTTATCTCTGTCTCTCTTTACGTATGTCTCTCTCTCTCTCTCTCTCTCTCTCTCTCATATATATATATACCTATACGACCACCCTTCGGGTGATAAGAAGGTTCGGGGGGGGGGAGGACATCATCATCATCATCATCATCATCATCATCATCATCATCATCATCATCATCATCATCATCATCATCATCATCATCATCATCATCATCATCGGGACACAATCATAATCAGTATCATCAACATCAACATCATCATACTCATCACCATCGGGGCACCATCATCGTCATCATCATGATCATCAACATAATCATCATGATCATCATCATCCTCATCATCGGGACACCATCAGCATCATCATCATCATCATCATCATCATCATCATCATCATCATCATCATCGTCATCATCATCATCATCGACATCATCATCATCATCATCATCATCATCATCATCATCATCATCATCATCATCATCGGGACACCATCATCATCATCATCATCATCATCATCATCATCATCATCATCATCATCATCATCGTCCTCATCATCATCATCAGCAGCATCACCATCATCATCATCGACGTCATCATCATCATCAGCAGCAGCATCATCATCAGCATCACCATCATCATCATCATCATCATCATCATCATCATCATCATCATCATCATCATCATCATCATCATCATCATCATCATCATCATCATCATCATCCGGCACGCGCACTCAGCCACACGGGACTTTCGCGGGACACCGGCGGGACACCGCGGGCCACCGGCCGCCCGGAAGGGAGACATTTGGTCCGGCCGCGCCTCAGCCACAGGAGACTTTCTCTCGCCCGCCCACGCAGCTTCGCCTCGCCCGCACGCACGGCACGCACGAACACGAAACCCAAATCGATTTCCCGGTAGGGGGGCTCTCCGTTCCACTTCGATCTCACCCCCTCACCTCCGATGTACATATATATATATACATATACATATACATGTACATATACCTATACCTATACATTTACATATACATATACATATACATATACATATTCAAATACATAAACATATTCAAATACATATGCATATACACATACATATACATATGCATATACATATACATATACATATACATATGCATATACATATACATATACATATACATATACATATACATATACATATACATATACATATACATGTACACATACATACACATATACATATACATATACATATACATATACATATACATATACATATACATTTACATATACATATACATATACCTATACATATACCCCCCCCCCCCCCCCCTACTCACCGCCAGCAAACGACTCCCGGTCCCCACCACCGTCCGCATCACATCCCCCACTGGTGTTCCCAGCACCACTGTCCTCACCACCGCTGTCCCCACTGGTTCCACCACCGCCCCTACTGTCCCCACCAGTGGCCCCACCACTGTCGCACTGTCCCCGCTGTCCCCAGAACTGTTCCCACCACGGTTCCACTCTCCCCACTGTCTCCACGGCCCCAACCACTGCCCGACTATCCCCACTGTCCCCACTGTCCCACTGACTCCTCCGCTGTCCCACTGAGCTGTCCCACTGTTCCCACCACTGTCCCCACTGTCCCCACCACTGTCCCCACTGTACCTCTGTCCCATTGTCCCACCGCCGTCCTCGCCACCGCCTTCACCACTGTCCCCACCACCATTGTACCCTCCACTGTCCCACTGTTTCCACCTCATTCCCATTGTCCCCACACCACTGTCCCCACCACCACCGTCACCACCACTGTCCACTGTCCCCCCCTGTTCCCACCATTGTCCCCACCACTGTCCCCACCACTACCGTCCCCACCACTGTCCCACTGTCCCACTGTCCCCACCACTGTCCCGCTATCCCCTCACCACTGTCCCCACCAACACCGTCCCCACCACTGTCCGCACCCCCACTCGGTTTTCGAGGGAGGGGGGGGTTCGAACCGGTAGTGACCCCCCCCGGTTTTCCGGATCCGGAGGGGGGGGGGGGGGTTCGAACCGGTAGTGACCCCCCCCCCCTTTTCATGATGAGCAGGGGGGGGGGGGGGGGGGGAGGGGTTCGAACCGGCAGTGGGTTTTCCGGAGGGGGGGGGGGGGGGGGGGGGTTCGAACCGGTAGTGCCCCCCCCCGGTTTTCCGCCAGCAGCGGTAGAACACGCTCTTTCATACATATACATATACATGTACATGTACATATACATATATACATATACATATACGTATACATATACATATACGTATACGTGTATATACATATACATATACATATACAAATACATATACATAAGCATAATCATATACATAAACATAAACATATCATATATATATACATGTTTTATACATATACGTTTATATATATATATATATATATATGCGTATGTGTATAAGTGCCCATATGCCGCTTTTAATCACATACATTCGTACATGCATACAAACATACATACATACATGCATGCATGCATGCATACATACAAACATACAACATGCATACATGCATGCATACATACATGCATGCATGCATGCACGCAAGCACGCATGCACGCATGCAAACATACATGCGTACATGTATGCTTGGGCGGACTCTCGGGCGCCAGCCTTCATATATTCTGGCTTCTCCAGAGCAGACCAGCATACATCAGCTGCGCGATCTTCGCCTAGAGCCAATTGCCGAGAGGCTTCTCGCCCAACTTCGAGGGGAAGGCCCCCCACCGATCACAAGACCGCGCACTTGTCAAACGCTCCAATTTAAAAGGTTGGGGACGACATAGAAGGAGCCTGATGCGTGGGAAGCTTGCGCACCAAGTGACACCAGAACGGACCATGCTGCATCGGCCCCCTTTCCGGCCGACCCCGCGCAGAGAACGCCAGGCACGCCAGAGCATTAGATGATTTGGCGGACTCTTCATATATTCTTGATTCTCCAAAACAGACCAGAACGCATCCATGATCTGCGCGATCTTGGCCCGGAGCCAACCGGCGAGAGGCCTCTCACCCAACTTCGAGGGGAAGGCCCCCCACCGATCACAAGACCAATAGCAGCGAGCAGCAATCAAACCTTGCGAAACTACTGTTGGCCTCTAGGCCATATATCTTTATAGGTTTCGAAAAGACAGGTTTCGAAGAGCTTGCTTATATGATTGCACAATTAACCTACACATGCCTGGGGGTACGACTCCGCCAGATGAGTCCAGAACCGCCCCGTGGGATCTCCACCTCCTAACACTCTGCGGGGGCGCTGAGAAAAGCTACAGTTACAAAGCCCACGACCGACGCAGTGGGCCTGCTCAAGCTGGGAGAAATCGAGGTGGCAATGTCGGAGCCTGGTCCGTTTTCGCCAGGGCTTCCCGAACGCACTAAAATCTACGACGCAGCCCGGACATTCTTGAGACGGACCAAAGCGAGGGCCCCGGGCAGACTCCGCAATCAGGAGGTGGCGGGGTTTTCTGAAACCACGGGGACCCTTAGGGCCTGGCACAGTTTAA